AACAGTTCTTAAAATAAAAACATCTATTGGTTATATATGTATATACCATACTTAAAATAAATATTTCTAAATTAAATAGGTGCAGAACCATTATACTGGTCAATAAAAATTTCTGGTTGATTGTCATTTTTGCCATTAATTTATCGTTATCTATACAGGATGAATAAAAAATTATTTTGCTGTCTAATATAAGCATTCATTTAATATATATTTTTCTTTATTTATTTTATTCAAATAAGTGATAAATTATTTTCTCTTTTTTTGAAAAACAATGTCTTCTAAATTGTTGTGTTTTGGTTTTAGTGTCTAAATCAGTTTGATCCAACCTTTTAGACGTTGCGGCTCGTATTAAATTTGAAATGGTTGTGAAGGGCCAGAGAACTAATGTTTATTTTAAAAAAATAATATACAAACGAAATATTAGTTACTTATACTTAAAATCATAATAAACCATAATAAAAAGTATTTTATTATGAACAAAAAGAGAAATCAAACGATTTCTACCTGGCGAAATCGAATTCAAACCTTGACCACCGTGCTTTCTAAAACTTGCAAAGCAAACAGTTTGATAAATAACTCGACAAGGAAATCTAAGATTGCATTCCACATGTCGTTTATCATGGTCAATATTCATTCAATATTAAAACAAAAATCGAGTACCAGATTGAATTCACTACGAATTTGGACCATGATAAATGACATGTGGAATTGCAATCTTGGATTTCCTTGTCGAGTTTTTTATCAAACTGTTTGCTTTGCAAGTTTTAGAAAGCACGGTGGTCAAGGTTTGAATTCTATTTCGCCAGGTAGAAATTGTTTGATTTCTCTTTTTGTTGTTAGATGGCGTAGTTACGGACGGAAAGAGATTTTGTTTTGATATGTTTAAAATTTACCATAAAATAAAAAATCAATGAGATATTATTTATGGCAAGGGTTTATCCACTACTAACTTTTGCACATCTATATCTATGCTAGTCGTAGTGACTCTAATACGCACTTCCAGTGAATCGTTTTCCATGCGATTACGTATTTTAGATTTAATATGCTTTAAAGCAGAGAATGTACTTTCACATATATCTTCTTCTTCGCGTGCCATATCAGGATTATCCGACGTTGGCGATCACCATTGCGAAGGCTTCTTGGTATTCTGCAATATGGAATAATTATCCTGCATTTGGTATCTAAGTCCATTCACGAATGTTTTTTAACCAAGAAACTTGTTTTCTTCGTACACCTCTACGGCCCTCTATTTTGCCTTTAAGGATCAGTTGTAAAATTTTATATCGACTTCCCCTTACGATATGTCCCAGATAAGACATTTTTCGATGTTTAACAGTATTTAGCAGTTCTCTGTCTTTGTTGACGCTCCTTAGTACTTCTTCATTAATTTTTCTTGCTGTATCTTCAGCATTCGTCTATGAACCCACATTTCCAATGCTTCAATTTTGTTCATGATCGATACTTTTAGCGTCCACACTTCTGCACTATAATAGACCAAACATAACACTTAACCGTTATTTGCCTTAGTTATAAACTGAGATGGTTATTGCAAAGAAATTACTTTATTTTCATAAAAGTAGTTTTAGTCATTGCAATTCTACGTTTTATTTCTATGTGTGGATCTAGTTGGTCCGTTATCACAGTTCCAAATATGTCATTTTGTGAACTTTCTCAACTTGGACTTCGTTCAATTGAAGCTTTGCATCGGGATGTGGGTTATGACTAAACACTAAAAATTTGGTTTTGATTGAGTTTATTTTAATGTCCATTTCCTCTCCTACCTCGTGAATACGATCAAGCAGAATTTGAAGACCTTCAATATTTCTGATAGAATTACTGTATCGTTTGCATATCCAATCACATTAAGTAGTTCCCCGTTGATTTTTATTCCATATGGTTGTCTCTCAAGTGCCTTTTTAAATAGCTGGTCCGAGTAAACATTGAACAATGTTGGCGACAAAATGCAATTGTCTGACTCCTCGTTGTATGGGGATTTCATCGGTATAGTTATCTCCAATTTTTACGATAGCAGTTTGATTCCAGTACAAATTTTTAATGACACGAATATCCTTGTCATCTATTCCGATATTTTTCAGTATTTTCATTAATTTTACATGCTGTACTTTATTGAATGCCTTTTCGAAGTCCACGAAACATGCAAATACATCTTTTCTTTGGTCACGGCATTTTTGTAATAGAATGTTAAGTACAAAAAGTGCTTCCCTGGTTCCCATAGTAGTTCTAAAACCAAATTGGGTGTCTTCAAGATCTTCTTCGCATTTGCGTCTAATTCTGTTGTGAAGTATTCTGAGGAAAATTTTAAGAGTGTGGCTCATTAGGCTAATTAATCTATATTCTGAGCATTTCTCGCATTGTGTTTTTTAGGTATTGCGACAAAGATGGATTTTCGCCAATCTGCGGGAATCACTCCGGTGTTATATATTGAAATAAAAAGTCTCACTACTACTTTTATGTTATCATTCTCTATTAGTTTTAGCAACTCAGTTGGTGTATCATCTGGACCACAAGCTTGTCTAATTTTAGCTTTATTTATAGCATGTTCTACTTCGCATTTCCTAATTTTTGGGCCGTCATTACAATTTTGGTAGAATTCGGCAATATTATTCCTGTCATCTTCAAACAACTTTGATATATACAGCTGCCATTCTTTTCTTATTAGTTGCTCATTTACAATAATTTTGTTATTAGTGTCAACGAGTACAGAGGGAACTCGTTTTTTAAATATATTACATATAAAGTTACGAAGTTTAGGGAAACGATCCTTGGAGACTAACTACCAAAAAGTATTAATGTATTAATTTTTCTTTGCTTGAAAAAACGAATCGGACTGTAGTTCGCACAGCTCTAATTGGTATTCTGCTGGTTTTTTCTGGATATTGACTCCCATTGGATTGTTAAAAAACTCGGGTCTTAGTGCATCAAATTCTGAAAACCTTTCATCGAATTCTCTTTTTATTTCTGTAAGAACTTTTCCAAACCTCGAGAAATCGACCATGGTTTCTTCTTGATTTATTTCGTAACACACAGGAAAATGTGTGAGGTCGTTTATTTTCATGCAGTGCTCGAAAAGATCAAGTTTCTTGCGAAATGTCTGAATTTGACCAACTTTCTGTGATACTGTCTTATTTTTCACCTGGAGTTGTAGGTTTAATGCGTCCAAGTGAGAGGTAATGTCTGTTAGAAATGCCAGTTCATGAAGAAATGTTTTGTTTTTAAGCTTTGTTATAAATACGTCCATGTTGATAACAATTTCCATTTCAAAAAAACAGTAAGATCTCTTTTCTTAAGAAAATAAATTTCTAAGGCATTTACTTGCACTTAATCAGCGTATCTCTGAATGTAGGGGGACGTCCCTATATTCAGTATTTAATTAGTCCAAGAAACAGATGAATTTTCGGTGTCCCTGAATTCTGTTTCCTCCTCTTAAGCTTTTTACTCCCTGCACTACAGTTTTCATAGTATCGTTGATTTTATTTATCTTTCCGCAGAGAGCCTCTTGATGGATAATGCAATAAAATAGAACACAGTTAACACCATTTTCCCGCAAAGTCCAGCCCGTCATTGCTTTTACTCCATCGGTGCAAACGCAAGAGCACTTTTGAAAACCGCCTATATTTTTCACAGCGTCCCTAACTGCTTCAAATATATTTTTACCTTTGGTCCAGTCTTCCATGTGGTGCAGTTTTAGAAGTTCCTCAGTTACACAAAAATCTTCACTGATGCATCTAACAAAAATTAATAGCTGATTTTTGCCAGTAATATCAACAGATTCGTCAAGGGCTAAGGAGTAGTACAAACAATCACGAACTGTGTCGACTATTTTTTTAAATACATGAGTATTCAGCTCATCAACTCTTCTGGATACAGTTAATGGGAAACTGAAACACATTCAAAATTTTTGACGCGTTAAAAAGTTTTACTTTAAAATTACTTAACATTAACGAAAGGATAGTTATTCTGAAAATAAGAGGAATGTTCCTTTGATATAAATCTCATTAATTTGCACGCTAGTACAGAGGACAAAAAAGTAGAAGAAAAGGATAATTGTTATGTCAGATTAGATCAAGAAGTTTTAAAGATAAACAATTATAGCGTTAAATTAATTTTAGAAAATTTAAATGCAATTATTAGAAGAGAGGAAAAAGTGCTTATCTGAGTCATATATTTCGAAATTCCAAGTACCAGTTCTTCAAGCTTATTATGGAAGGGAAGATTAAAGGAAAACAGGGCATCGGAAGAAAGAAATACTCATGGCTTAAAAACATAAGAAATTGGACAAACATCGATGCCAATGCACCCATTAGAAGCATACAAGATCGAGAGGAGTATGCCAGAATTGTCGCCAACATCCACTAATTGGATAGGGCGTCATAAGAAGAAGAAGAAGAAGAAAAACGTTCCTTGATAGACCTATTGGTCAGAGAAGAAAAGGAAGATCCAGAACAAGGTACTTTGATAACATCGATGAACACATGAGAAATATGGGAATACGTGCTTGGCGGAGAAAAGACATGGATAGGAACGACTGGAGAGAAATTCTTGAGGAGGCTATTACCCACGCAGGGTTGTAAATCCAGAATGATGATACGTACATAATGGTTACTATATTTTTAAAAATATTTTTAAATTTTATACATTACAATAAATAAATGTTATACTTACTTACTACAGTTTTAATCTATACCTATAAAAGTACATTTTAAATAATATTATCATTATATGAATAAGTTTTAAATTGGAAAATTCATGAACAACACTATAATTAACGTCTGCATATTTGCATATACCTTTGTACTCGTATTACTCGTATTGTTTAAAATTTTTTACATATTTGCGCCAATTTTGTGCATATTATATAAGCTCATATTTGCTCTCTTTTCTGTTTCATATATTCCAGTTCCTAGTTATAATATAATATGTTTATATCTATATGGGGCAAAAAATGTATCTGTAATAATATTTTAATCTGCATATTTTAGATGGATTTACTTCGTGCCCTTGTAGTTGTTTCTGAAAAGGCTGCAAATATAGCTAGAGTATGTAGGCGAGATGGACATTTGTTTGAATTATTAGTTCAGAAGAAAACGACAGCTGAAGCTAATCCCCGGTTTGTAGAAGATTTTAAAACATTAGCGGATGTACTGATACAAGAAATGGTTAAACATGATATTGGAAAACAAGTAAGTACGTCACGTTATTATATTTTTAATTGAGGTTTTCGGCCCAGTAATGAGATTCTTCTATTGCGGCATTGCTGACCAACTTTAGATTGTCCAAGGTGCAGGTTAAAGGCCACTTGGGATATAACAGAATATTTTGTTGTTTTCCACATTCTCAAAAGTCACCATTAGTCGTTTTTGGGTTCCACGTCATTTAATTTATATATACGGTTTAAAGTCGTCCACATCTTCCAATCTAGACTAGTACCCGAGGGTCCCTCTTCTTGACATGTAAAGTAGTTTTCTGATGGGTCGGCACTAAATGCAAAATAATTTTTCTGGATTTAAACCTTAGGTTGTTTCCTTTCCGCGTTGTATAATGGATAGCGGCCATTGAAGATTTATTTAAACTTTTCTATATCTTAACAGCTGTTAACAGTAGTGCGAAATCTAACATTTCTATAGAAGGTTGAATGAGGGAAGTGTCATACATCCGGTTATTATACTGTATGTTTCATTTAAGGCAATATTAACGTTTAAGGTAGACCGACCGGTTCCAAACTGAGCACGCGTACTCTCCTATTGAAAAACACATTGCCTGTGCAGTTGTTCTTTAAGTGTCAGGGCATATGCCCAGTAACATCCAGCCAATTTTCTTACTAAAGTGTTTTTAATAGCGACTTTTTGTACTATATTATGACAATGGTGCTTATTTCTTAACGAACTGTCCAAAGTTACTCCGAGGTACTTAAGTTTGTCTTCGTATTATATGATTTTGTTCTCCCATGTTACAATTTTCTCCTTGCATTGTGGGTACTTTGATAGAAAGCGCTTACCATTATAGTCAGGTTGTCGGAATATAGGTAGTGTGTTGTACCCTTTGTTATTGGTTATTCATTTGTATATATAGCGAAGAAAACTGGGATACTTTTCTTTTCTCAGTTTTTATTTTTGAGTTTGCTTTTCTTTCTTGTACTATAATCTAGAATCTCCTGTAGTAGTGACTCTATGAACTTCAGAGTTCAGAAGTTTAGGGTCATTAAGAGTGTTATCTTATTTATTTTTTCTAGTTTTTTTGTAGTTCACGATATCTTAGGTAGTTGTTAGGTCAACTGTGCGACTCCAGTTATTGGCTTGTTTTTTAAACCAATCTGATGTACATGATTTTTTATGTGGGGATATGTGGAGAAATAACGATCAGGTTCTTAGCGTCGGCGCGAAGTATGATGAAGTTCCAATATAAGTATGGGCATTCATTCTGTGCCATTGGTATTATTTGTTGTTCGTGAATTTATGAGTTTAAAATATCAAAGGATTAGGATATTGACTATGAATGTTCATATTGTAAGGTTAGGTTGTGGTTTGATTCTGGTTTGTTTAAAACTTTATTTTTTTTACTGCGTTTCAGCGTACATATTTTTTTGTTGTTTTTATTGGGGTTATTTCAAAATGATCAATAAATCATTGAGTTTATTTACGAAAGAAAAAATATTTAAATTAATGTTTTAACCTGTTTTAAGTGCTAGTGATTTTTTGCCCTAAAAGACTAAATATATTAGTTTTCTCGTAGTTTAAATAATTAATAGTTGTTCTGTTGCCATTACTGAAAAATTCAGTCATATTTGATATTATCAACACACATTTTGTATACTGCTTGTTCCTATTTAATTTTTATACTTTTTGAACGTTTTCTAATTAGTAGGTGTAAGTTTAAAAGTATAAAAAAAGCTCTAGAGTCAATTATGAAATTTGTGACATTCATCGTTTTTCACGCTGACTATTCTTATTATCTGTTAATGAAATAAATTTTAGTTAATGTATTATAAGAGGATATTTTTTAAGAATATCCTATTTTCAATAAAACTGCTACAGTAGACTCGCGATTATCCGAGTCTAGGTTATCCGAGTCCCTCGGTTAACCGAGGCAAAATTTTGCCTTGGTTTTACCTTTATTTGCCTTTATAGTCGTACTTTTTGAATCACAATATCGAGTAAAAAAAAGGGTCGATGGTCAGAAGTTATATCGGCAGCTGTTATATGGGCAATCAATTGAAAATTTTGGATTATTGATAAGAAGAGAATTATTTGTAAGGTATGCTTTAGGTCAAGCTGATGTGAAAGAGATTTCATGAGCAGAAATTTCTGTGTGGTGTTTTGTCTACAACTTCCTGTTCCTTTCTATGTTAATGAATGTGAATTGAACTACCGATTTGTTTGCTGTCGTTCAGATCGTCAAATTAAGTATCTGTACGGTAATATTTTTCCTTTTATGTAGTGTTTTGTGAATTTATTCCAGTTATTAGTTTCGGTTTCATAACTAATTTTTCATAAGTTGATTTTTGTGAGTGTAAGAGAGAATCTTTCTGTGCAATATGAGTGGAAAGCGGAAGAGAGTAATTGGAAACAAAAGTGAACACAATTAAGAGGTTGAACAAGGGCGAATCAATAAAGGAGGTTTCTTCAGATTTAGATGTCGGAGAAGTAACTGTTGGATATTGGAAGCGTAAGCGGAATGAAATCGAACAGTGGGTAAACCGAAGTGTGAGTGGTGGTAGTGGATTGGCCCAAAAAGCTTTGTTGTTGTTGGACAACGCACGATCCCACCCATATGCGAGGGAATTGATTAGTGGTGACATACAAGCTGTGTTCCTTCCACCCCATGTGACATCTCTCATCCAACCAAAACCGAAGTGTGAGTGGTGGTAGTGGATTGGCCCAAAAAGCTTTGTTGTTGTTGGACAACGCACGATCCCACCCATATGCGAGGGAATTGATTAGTGGTGACATACAAGCTGTGTTCCTTCCACCCCATGTGACATCTCTCATCCAACCCTAGACCAAAAAGTTATATAAGGAATGAAGAGGATTTATCGGCGGAAGCTTCTTCAGGTACTGCTACTACTATAAACTGGATGAAGGGCTGACTGTAATTGAGGCATTGAAGAAGATCGCGGTTAAAGATGTTTGCTATTAGATTGCATCTGCTTGGGACGACGTAAAAATGTCCACTACTCAGAAGTTGTGGAAAAAATGATTTAAGATAGACAACAAAACACAAGACGTTCAAAATAAAACTGATGACTGTAAAGTTGATTCTATAGCCCACCTAGCCAATCAATTACCAGAAGAATAAACCATCGTAAACCAAGACATCATCGATTGGATGAATCTAGATGAAGAAGTGGAACTGACAGATGATGCCATTGCCAATCTAGGTGTAAACGTCACCCATGAAGAAGAAGAAGATACAGATGGGATAACTTAAAAGATTTCTCATTCCGAAGGATTTTAAGTCCCTTGAAGCAGCTCTCGTATACATTGAGCAACAAGAAGAATCAACACCATTAGACGTCCTTCATTTTCAACGTTGGCGCAACATCGCCGCCCAAAAAGAGGAATGAAGTTGAAACAAAAATCAATCAAAGATGTTTAAAACATTTATAAATTAATTTTTTTCATCTTTTATACTACTTTTCTATTAGTTTTTAGTTATTAAAATAAACACATTAATCATTATTTACATAGGTACACATTTTTCTATCAGTATAACCAATCTCAGTGACCGAGTTCTTTCGGTATCCGAGGTAGTCACGGTCCCAATTACCTCGGATAATCGCGAGTCTACATTTTTTATTTATTTTTTACATTTATTTTTTAATATTGGGCGTACTTTTTTTTAAACAAATACTCACTTATTTTTCTTAGTCTTCTTTCTTCTATTTTCTAGGCGAATTACTTGTCTTGTCTCAACTTCATCTACGTGAATCAATCAAATTGTCGCTTCATCTTCTTCGGAGTCCGCCTATACTTTTTCGTCCCGTTGATGATATATCTTCAGCGATTCTCATCATTCTCCTTTCTTGCATTCTGCTAATATCTTCATTCCACCCCTACATAAGGTTCAGCTAGTATTTTAACATAGGAAATTTTTGTTTTACTAACAATTTTCAATACTTTTTTTAGTTTAAAGAATTATCAGCTAATATAAAAGGAGAAGAAAATAACGTATTTAAAAACAAATTAGGAGAAAAAATATGTGTAGAAGTAAAACCTAGCGAGGAAGAAACATCAAGTCTATTAGAAATTGTATTAAATGGAGATCACTTAGCAGCCACATTGCTAGCAGCAGAAGTACATAGAGACTTAGATATTGAGCACATTAAAACGGATGTACCTGAAACAGAATTTAATGTCAACTATGAAGAATTGGGTATATGGATTGATCCAATTGGTAAGATATTTATACAATCTTTATTTATTTAATTTTAACATTAGTAATTGAATCCATTAATTTAAAATTTTCCTGCTAGTTTTCTAGATCATTGTGAGTAAATTATCAATATCTATTTACGTGGATATGAATAACTGTTTGTTAGCATAGCTGAACATTCATACAAAATAGAGATAGGATACAAAATGTAAAAAATATTATAACTACCTTTATCGACACAATAACTTCTTCTTAGTGTGCCTGTCCGTTTCGAACGTTGGCGATCATTCTGGCTATGATGACTTTGTTGGTTGCTAGCTGTGTTGAGGTCTTTCTATACCATTCTCTCAGGTTAGCAAGCCAGGATATCTGGGGCCCTTTCTCCTTTAATTTAACCTTGCAAAATGCATTGAAGTAGCTCGTATTTGCCTTGATTTCTCATTGTATGTCCCAAGTAATGCAGCTTACGGCCCTTCACGATGTTAACCAAACAATAACTTAAACAGTTAAGTTAATTTAAATCCTTATACTAGTACTAGTGATTCTATACTAGTACTATACTAGTACTAGTACTAGTGATCTACAGTCATTCTACTCAATTTTTTATAACTCCCTCCAATTTTTTTCAGGTGAATCATTTGTAGAATAAATTGGCAACAAATCGTCCATATCGTGTAACTGATTAGGTTCTTCTTCATCTTCTTCTTTTTATATGGACTTAACTTTGTCTGTTTTCTTCCTATTGGGGAACCGTCCCTTGCCGTCTTTACTACTCTATTTGTTGTCATTCGGCTTATATGATCGTTACATTCTACTCTTCTATTTCTTACTTAGTTCTTGATATTATCCACCTTGCATCTATGTCGTATATCTGTACTTCTATCTTTGTCCCATAGTGTCTTACCATCAATTTTTGTAAGTATTTTCATCTATACTGTTTCTAACATCCTTTTTTTTCTCTCTGTGTCAGGTCTTGTTTCTGCTGCGTATGTCATTATTGGTCTGATTTCTGCCTTTCTTTCTTTCCCAATATTTTTATTTCTCCATATTGTTTCATTTAGGTATCCTGCGGCTCTGGTTGCTCTATTCACTTGATCTTCCACTTCAGTTTCGATCCTAGATATTAACTTCTCATTAGGTTGAAATGATAATTTAGTCAGTTGTACAACTTTTATAATAAATAAGTCACTTTCAGAGAATTACTTAACTTTTGCGTGAAGTTGTCTTGCGAAAACCAACGTAGCTCGAGTTTGGCAAGTCGTTGGGAAAGCTTGAGTCCCACCATATTTTTATTTTTATTTGTACTTATGTTTTTTCTAGATTGTACAGCTGAATATGTTCATGGTGGATCTGGAGAAAGTACCAATAATATTCATAAAAACGGACTTAAGTGTGTCACAATTTTAATAGGAGCATTTAATAGAACTACTGGTGAACCTGTCATGGGTGTTATAAATAGACCATTCCTTGACCCTGAAGACTTTCAGTAAGTATTTAAAAAATAATTTACTTTTAGTTTTTATCATAAAATATGTATAACGAAATACCAAATACCATACCAAATGTATACCAAATACATTTATTAATATCATCATTATTCCCTTAGCTTTATCATAAAGAGCGATGGGCTTCTCTAATTAAATTTCGTCACAAGTTTCTATCTTGTGTAGTACTAATAATAATGTCATTTACAAATGTTACTTGTTTAACTGCTCGTTCCTACTTTAATCTTCTTCTCTTACTTTACTTAAGAACTTATTAATAACCAATACTTCGTATTAAGTGGTTCTTTTTTTATAAGACCGTAATATAAAGCAGTTGAATGTTTAAGATAACTAACTAACATAAGCTCTTGTTCGTGTTTTAAAATTCGAATTGATTAATTCATACCATCGTGCAGCCTCATTAACCGTAAGTACTCCCTTCAGGACATCGTTTACTGCACTTTCTAAAGCCTAAGAAGACAAAGACGATGGTCATCAGCAAGCAGCAAAACAGAAGGGTGAAGGTCAATGTCGATGGAACAGATCTGGAAAGAGTAAAAAGAACAACGTACCTTGGAAGTAATCTTGATGAAACTTGGGACCACTCACTAGAGATAAGAATACGCCTGGAAAAGGCACGTACAATGTTTTACAAAATGCAAAAAGTTCTATGCAACCGCCAGCTGGGCATCTCATTGAGAACTAAAATACTTAAGTGCTATGTTTTCTCCACCTTGCTCTATGGTGTTGAAGCCTGGACAATGACAGAAGCAACACAAAAAAGAATCCAAGCATTCGAACTCTGGTGTTACCGTAAAATGCTCAGAATATCCTACATGAGCCATACGACAAATGCGGAAGTCTTGCGGAGGATGAATAAGGAAAGAGAGCTTATGCTTTTAATAAAAGAACGGAAAACACAATATTTTGGTCACATCATAAGAAATCAAAAGTATGAACTGCTCCAACTTATAATCGAAGGCAAAGTCAATAGCAAAAGAGGACCAGGAAGAAGACGCAACTCTTGGCTTAAAACCTACGGCAATGGACGAACATGACCTCCATAGAACTATTCAGGGCTGCTACAAATAAGATTAAATGGGCAAATGTAACGGCCAACGTCCTTAAGGATAAGGCACCGTAAGAAGAAGAAAGCCTATTGGTTGATCTTCACCCGCGTCTTGCCATATTTGCTTCGAGGCATAGTTAAAAAAACAAACAAATTCGGCTACCTATAAAGTGTTTTAAAAATAAACAACTCACAATAAACAATATTCAGAAATAAACCAAGCACTTAAAAACATATTACTGGTATAAATTCAGTCCATCAGACAAACATACAACGCTCAGTACAAAACAATTTCAGTCTTTGCATTTATGCAAATGCATTTATTTGAAAAAAAAAAAACTCTATCAGTGTTGTACCTTAGGATGTCTTAGGGAACAAACATAGAAACAACAAAAAATTACTTACCAATGAGAATTTCGTGTTTTGTTCTATAACTCCCATAAAAGCAATTATTAAGATCGTCCCAAGCTACAACACTTTCCCCTATCTTATTTGAACATGCAAGTAAAAATAATTTTGTTATTCTTTCGTTTATTGGTTAGTTTTCATAGTCGTACTCTGAAATTTTTTCACTTACCATACTGGCAACTTCGACTTCTCGTTCTACTGTATAGAACTTTTCTGATTGCAATAATCCTTTAAAATTACATTGCTTTCAGGTCTCATTACTTTCCTTAACTGAAAACTTAATTCTCTTCCAGACGCCAATTTCGCAAGTGTGGCCTGGTCGGCTACCAGCACGTGACCAGTAGTACATTTCACACGAATTGGCCTAAAACCAACTGAGCATCAGTCACTAATTAGATCGCTAAGCATCCATAATTCTTTCAAAGCATTATCCATAATGGTGTAGCTACGAAAACATAATCATATAGTTTCTCCTTGCGTGCCTGATAGCAGTACCACAGCCTTCTTCTTTATGTACCATATTCTTACAGAACCTTAGGTACCATCACAGCTATCCTAATTTTATTCACTGATTGCATGCTTGTATCAATACCATACCAATCTCAGAAGTTCTTCAATCATAAAGTCTTTCTTCGTCCTGGACTACGCTTGCTCTATTTTCTCTTGCATAGTATTTTGTAGCAATCTATATTTGGAACCTCTCACTACATCCCGAAGTACTCCAGATTTCTCTTCTTGATGTTTTTTGTAATCTCAGTAGTCTTGCTGAGACATTCTAGTATTGTGGAGTTTCGAATCTTCTCCACCCAAGAAGCTTTTAAAATTCTTCTATAGGACCATATTTCGAAAGCTTCAGCTAAGACGACTTCGATCATTTTCATTCAGAATCCAAGACTCGACAAGACCGAGAACACATATCAGCAAAGTAAGCGAATCCGCAATGCCAATTTTAGGTCTCTGTTACATCATACCTTGGACATCCTTCTAAAAGCAGATCTGGCCCGCTCAATTTTGGATATAATTTCACCGTGACTCTGCCACAGCCGGTTAACCATAATTTAATATTGTCTGTGGATTTCTAATAGTAAGCTAGTCCAAAATCGTTTCTTTTATACCTTATCTAGATACTGGACACGCTGCTTATCAAGTCCAGGGTATGTGTATCGACCTACCGGTCAACAGGATTACGTCACGAAGTTTGTGGCTCTTCAACACGCATTAGGGCCTTGACTAGTGAGAGGTTAAGGCTCCACTTAAAAGACCTGTATTTAAATTACCTAGCTCTGGGAGGTTATGAGGACTTGTGTCCAATCAACTCGGTACTATCATTCAAAGGAGAGTCAAGCATTCAAAGACTAATCTCTCGTGGTTCATCCCATTTAAATTAATAAGCCTTCTAATTTTAAAGTTATCTCAGCAATGTATTTGGGGAGTATATCTTCCAGATTTTAAGTATAATATTTGACTGAATACCATTTCTAATTTATAATAAACCTTTTTATTTTAAGGCATTCCCAGCAATGTATGTGGGGAGTATCCCTTCCAGATTTTAAGTGCAATAGTAGACTGAATACCATTTCTAAGAAGAATATTATTTGCATAAGCAGTAGTGAAAATGATGACATTAAGAAAAAGTTAACTAGTCACGGTTATACCTTAATTGAAGCATCAGGAGCTGGATACAAGATTTTAACAGTAATTTTAGGTAATCATATTGTATATATACATTATAATAATTGCAATTTTTGTTACATATATGTTTAAAAATAGTTCTTATTTTTAACATGATAACTGTCTAGAGAAATTGCCTACAATTATACGGATACCGGGGCTTTTAATGGTTGTTCCAAACCATCCGAATAGACCTCATAATCAAGAATTTTACTTTCTATGAAGCGATGTTTTCCCTTTGAACTTCAATTATTAGAGAAGCAAATTTATAACTTTTACCCATTTTAATAGTGTCGATACACTGCAAATATAATTTAGTTATAACATAATATTAAAGTAACCCCCTCTGTTGCTCAGTGGTAAGAGCGCCTACCTTTAAACCTAAAGGTCGGGAGTTCGAATCTCATCTGGGTGGAAAAATTTTCGTTTATTAAAAATTAATAAATGAAAATAATTTCTATCCTTGTGCGATCGGTACTCACCGGAGGGACCGCAGACGTTCGGATACAATTAGCGTCTCTTAGCAAAGACAATGACGTCGAATTTGCTAAGTATCAAGACAACTACTCGACACACACACACACACACACGCTACACTAGGTACCTGACTGTACCATGCCAATGATCATAGTTGTCGAGGCATTAACTCAATAATAAAAAAAAATAATAAAGTAATTGTTATATTCAGGATACAATAATTATTCTTCTATAACCCATGCATATGTATAGCTAACCCGTCAATCTATTTATATTTTATCACGTGTTCAGGTCCAGCTTCCATTTATAACATCATGCAAAAAACGACGCTGCGATAATTGAAACCGAAGTTTCAGGTATTGTGGGATTTCTCAAGTCAATTTTTTCCGAAGTGAAAATCAAAACGCCAAAATAACCTTGTTTATACTTAAACGCCAAAATAACTTGACGTCATTTATCTCCAACCAGCGTGTGTATTTGTATTTAAGATTTATCCAGTTCTATTATGTTCTCTATGTACTAAACCCAGTCTCACTTGATTAGTAAATTTGGTAACTTATTTTGTGCTATGTTTTAAGTTAAATTTTGACATCAACTTGATGTCAAGTTACTATACAGCCAAGCTCCTTCGTACATAGAACTAATATTAATTGTTACTTCAAGTAAAACATTCATATGCAGTTTATTGACAAAATTAAAACTGATTAATTTAAGAAACAGACAGACTGAAACACACAGTTTTAGTTTTGGAAACGGGAGGGCTTTCTGCAAATCAATAGTTAAGGTGCATAAATCTTCATTTTCTTTTGCAATGGGCTATCTGTGTTAAAAGTAGCACGTGCTTTTTCAGCTCTTGCCAAGTGGAGCTTATGTTTCCTTTCCAGCTCTGCTCTTGTTTCTGGAATTTGCTCCATAATATCTACCATTTGCTTATACCTATCGCAGTGTTCACATGTATCTTTTCTAGGCAAGTGAAACTGTAAATTAAATTTTGAGTTGAAACTATATCGGTCGTAATACTCTTTGACAGGATCAATTTCAGTTTCCACACACCCCTGTGTATAAAGATTATACATCTTTACAAGATTAAGATCTGAGCTCAAGTATCTTCTGTTGGGATTATCGTTCCTTGTATAGTGGCTTTGATAAGATGGGAAACGATTAATGTGGTCTATAACTGATTGTGCCTGCAATGGTGTTAACTTCTGTGCAGCAACATGTTTACCCAGTAAGTCTTTCCCAGGGGTTCGTCCGTCTCTTATTTTATTAAGAGCTCTCATCGCTTACAGCAAAAGTAGACAAAAAGTACTTTTTGCACACTCTAACTGTGGAATCTCCTTTTTGAATATGGAACAAATTTGGACTTTTCTTTTCGGCTTTTGCTTCAGACCGTGGACGTCTACACTGTGTGGGCGCCTGATGGATAAGTCCAGATAAGTATACATTTTGTTTGCTGAAATCACCCATTTTATGAAAATTGTCCAACTGCATTCGTCTTTCATCTTCTGTGAATGATGAAAAGCATCTCTTAGGGCACCCACACTCAATATTTGTAAAGCTCTTGCATGCCACAATATTACCCTTAACATTGATGTATGATTGTCTCTTATTACGAAGTCTCTTTGTACGTTCCCTTTTGGACTCGTTGCTGGCTCTTGTAACTGAGTAACTCGTCTGTAATAACGAAAAAAAAAAAAACAATTAAGAACTATTTCAATCTTAATTATAATACATTCATTAGGCTAGGTTATTATTTTGGTGGAACTAACGTGTTTTTTTGTGTAGTTAATTTATGTTAAAAATTCATAGCATAACCTAAGATATTACGAAAGTGGTCAGAACATTGTTTTTCGTTATTATCATCACTTTATATAAAAATATACTCACCTGATGAATAATCATTTTCGTGTTGAGGATTGTAGTCCTTATCGGCGTCGCTATCATCGCTATTAGAAATTATATTAAACATTTTATCACTGCTGCAATCCATGTTACTACTCTGTAGCTAATCTGGTTTTTGACAAAAGCTTAGGCACATAGTGGTGTAAGTGAGACTTACTTCACTATGATGCTCAAGGTATTTAATATTTTAAAAAGTGCGCTACGGAGATGCTGCCATCTAGTAGCTAGCCATGGTGCGCCGTTACAGATTACTTATTTTAGATGCCAGGCAACGGGATATCTTAAAACTGCAATAACGTGACTTACACCACTATGTTTCTCAGCCCTTCAATTAATGTTGTATTTTTTCGATTATGGGTGTCAAAATTTTGCCGAATTCAGTGAATCGACTATACTTTGTTTTAAAACTAATGTTTACAAAAGTAAACTAATGTTTACTTTTGAACTTATAGTTATGAATTGTTATAGTTACCAGTTTTTATTCTTGTTTAATTTACTAAACAGAAATGAAATCATTTTTTTTGTTACTTATTCAATTTATTTATATTTTCAGGTTTAGCAGATGCTTACATTTTAACTAAAGGTACTACTTTTAAATGGGATACTTGTGCGCCTCATGCCATATTAAAATCACTCGGAGGAGACATAATTAACTTTCTTCAAATAACATCTTCTGACGAGTCAAAGAGTATAAAATATTTTAATGAAGAAAGTAACTGCAATTTGAATGGAATTATCGTATATCGGGACGAAAACCAATTAAACGAGATTGTTAATATTTTAAAGTTATAAAGTATTTTTTACTTAATAAATGTTATTTTAAAATAACTAAACAGTTTTTGTTCAAGTTGGTTTATTATTTTTTAACTGATAAGACTGATAAGTGTGTAAAAATTAATTTCTTAGCTGAGTGCTTTCAGCTTACAAAGCCATCCTTAGAGCTATGCTACAATAGAACACTAATACAAGTAACTAATTTAGGATTTTGTAATTTTTCAACTTATGCCAAGTTTTAAAAAGCACCCCTAGTTAAGAGAGACCCCATTTGGTCCAATCCACAATTTTTCATTTTCTGTAAAAAACTAAAGTTATAAAAACCTTTAAAAAAAAAACGCATAAAGAACGAAAAATTGCGCTCCACAAAAAACATATCAAAAAAATTGAATATGGTACGGATGTAACATGATTTTAAAAAAACAATATGTAAAACTGACTATAACACTAAGGAAGAATGATGACAAACCATACATCAAGCTTTTATTAAAATAAAAACAGTCCATATACTCAGTTGTCTAGATCTGCAAGAAAAAGGTGGTAATTAGAATTATAACAAAACGTGAGTATTTTGAACATTCATTAGAATTTTTCTATTTTTCTAAAATTTATTTATTCTATTTATTCTGGCTGTTAATACTGTTAATGACTGTTAATAAAATATCAATGAAATTTATCATTTCTATTAACCGGTCGAAATGGAATTTTCATTCCTAGAGCCTAATCTTCAAAACCTATAACATAAAATATCGATTTTAAGTTTTAGCCACAAATTTAAACTTTACTTATTAAACTTACATTACAAACTTTCTAACGTCACGGAAAACACCCCACGAATTGCATTGGGTGGAATTTATAACTGATGTTCTTTAATTTGGAAAAATGTACTTTAGTACTAGGCATATTTCAAGTGCCTCACATTTGTTGCCAAAACTTAAAACTAAAATTTAATGCTCTAGAGTTTAAAGATTGGGCTTCATTTCTTTCTTTTGATTAGAGTATTCTGTCTACAAAAATCAAAATCCCTTTTAATTGTAAAGAGTGCAGCATTCGTATGTAATTTGTTATAAATAAATATGTTAAATAAATATTCCACGATTTTTGCTTTTTTTTAGGATTCTCAGGATATCAATAAAATTTATTTCTTTGATTGTCCAGCTGTAGTGTAATTTTTATTGTTAATCCTAGTCGTCAAAACTGATACCTTGAAATTTTAATTTTGAGTCATGGAAATAAATATAAAGCATTTGAAATATGCCCTATTTATATATTTATACATTACATTATAAACAAACAAAGCAAGGAACAGAGCAGAATGGCAGAAAATCCTAGAACAAGCCAGGACCCAAAAGGATTGTCGAGCTACTGATGATGATGATGAATACATTATAAACGATACGGTATTGGATGGAATTTTTAGATGAAGTTATGTAGTTTTTAAAAACTTAATTGAGTAATTGAAAAGAAGCAGTCTTGATAGTTTTAGATCGTTTGTAATGTGAAAACTTAAATTCAGCGTGTTTTAGGCATATTTCAAATGCCTCAGCTCACAGTTGTTGTCAAAACTTATCTTCACCTTTAAAAACATTTTGATTTTTGTCGAGAGGACAATCTGATCAAAAGATATCGAATTTTTACCGTCAAGGTGATACAAATTTGATTTAAAATTAATTTCGCGAGCGTAACTGACATTAAAAATTTCTGGTCGCTTTAAGCGTTGTTTCTGAGACAACGGATCATTTTAGAAAAAGTTCTAATATTTATTTTTATTTAAAGTTATTTCAGCTACATTTTTTATTTGAAACATTTTTTTCTACAGCTTCCACATTCTTGGTAAATCCATGTTTTCCGTCCCCCTCCTCGAGGGAGAGTTTTAGGTTTAAGATTTAAGCCGGTGTAGGAGTAGTCAACTTTGTTGAATATTTTTTGGGTCCCAAAATTTATATTTTTAACAAAATTTTTTTGTTTGTTTTTTGTATAATTTTTTGAGGTTCAGTGGCATTTTCGTCTCCGAGAAAGGGAGTATGAGTTTGTTTCAATTTACATAAACGTACCATAGCTGGATGGAATTAATGGAAACATTTATTGTAGGTTAGCCATAACTCCTAACGTTCAGTCTTATATATATATATATATATATATATATATATATATATATATATATATATATATATATATATTTGTCAATTAAACCTTACATTTAGTATTTTTTTTTATGAAAAAGTATATGATTCGAAGCCACATAATTTTTCCGATGTAATATTTAAAACAACAGATTTAATACATGCTGTATACACACGCTGTATATTTTCAAGTATATACACTTTGTCGCTGACTTTATGGCGCGCAGTAAATTTTGATGGGCCAGGGTAGGGAGAAGCTCGTTTTTCTCAGCGGTGAGACAATCTTTTCTGTCATTGTTGGCAGGGCCTCTGTTCTTGATTAGCGCATATTAGGGCAAAAGTGAAATTGGGCAGTGTAGAAACACCACTTTTTTTGAATCCAAATTGTACTAAAATTCCATTTAAATTAGGTAACAGGTGTTTAATTTGTACACATGTTACTATTTAAAAAGGCTAAATACAGAAATGTCTAAGGGCGATTACATTGTTACCAAAGTTTTTGGGAAAAAACGTGTTAGAAATTTTGTGGCAGTAGTTAAGAAAACCAAATTCATGGTTGTCAGCCGTGCAAATTTAGATCCCGGGGCACTAATGGCAGGTAGCGAAGAGATTAAGGCCCGGTTGTACATTCGTAGCTCAACTCAAGCTCAGCGCCATTACCGAGTTTAACGCATGAAGTGGGTTGTACATCTAAAGTTTAATTCTTGAGCTCGGTTTAAACACGGGTTCTACTGAGCGATAGAAGTTTGACGGTTCAACGTCAGCTCAGGCATTTTTAACCTCACATCAATAGAAAGCTTAAATTATTATCTGTTACTGTAGTGTTGTATTATAAAAAATGAATAACTTTGAAAATTTAACTGACGATGAAGATTTTCTGGAAATGATAAATATTGTAGATGGAAGAAGAACGCAAAAAACAATTTAGGACCAGAGACAATCATTTTGAAAAATGGAATGATAATGAATTTTTGCAAAGATTTAGGTTATCTAAAGATGCAGTTCATTATTTACATCAAAATATTGCTGATAAAATAAGAAATCCAACGGATAGGTAAGAATGATAAAACAATCGGAAATATGTTATTTATTAAATGAAATTTATTAACATTTTAGTTACCAAGCTGTATCTTCAGAAAATATGGTTTTTGTTGCCTTAAGGTTTTATGAAACTGGCTCCTTTTTGCAAGTAGTGGGTGATTTTATGGGCATCGACAAATCAACAGCTTGCAGAATTGTCCATAAAGTTTCCAGAGCAATTGCCAGTCTAGGCAAACAATTCATTAAGATGCCACAAAGCGAATGTGAGATGAAAACAGTCAGCAAGGAATTTTATAAGATTAGCCGTTTTCCAAGATGTATTGGTGCTCTTGACTGCACTCATATCAAAATTTCTTCTCCTATATTTAATAATATTTAATAATTCTAGGCTAAGAGCAGATTTAGAAAGTGCGCATTATGGAAGATATCTTTTGGTTGGTGATAGTGGTTACGAAATCAAAAAATATCTCATAACACCCTTAAGCAATCCTCAATCACCAGCCGAAAATTTATTTAATGAGGCACAAATTAGAACCAGGAATCCAATAGAAAGGACTTTCGGAATATGGAAACGGCGGTTTCCTGTCTTAGCATTTGGGATAAGGGTAAAATTACAACATATAGAAGCAATTGTAATTGCAACATCTGTGTTACATAATAGTGCAATTCTTTTTAATGATCCACTACCCATACTCCATGAAGAAGAGGAAGCAGCAATGGCAATAGGAAATGTAGACAATGAAGCTGTCTTTGATAGAGGAGCAAGAGAAGTTGATAATAATATAGCAAGATTTCAACTTGTAAATGAATATTTTGCAAATTTATTAAATTAAATGTAGGTACATAATTTATTAACAAATCTAAAATGATTTATATTTTTACAATATATAAGTATTGTAAAAATATAAATCATTTTAGATTTGTTAATAAATTATATCACTTATTATAAAAATTATACAAACCTATTTACATTATAAATTATTTAATTGCCCTACCCACTTCCTACTACTAGAAGAATAAGACAAATATTAACATTTTTGGGTGATTTTGATACCATAGCAATAAAAAGTTATCTATGAGAAGAGCATGTGAAGAACTAGATTAGTATCTTTTGGTTGGTGATAGTGGTTACGGAGTCAAGAAATATCTGATAATATCCTTAGGAAATTCTCAATAACCAGCTGAAAATTTATTTAATGAGGCACAAATTAGAAGTAGCAATCAATAGACACTTGGAATATGGAAACAGTAGTTTTCAGAATTGGATACATGTAAAGTTAGAATGCATAGAAGCAATTGTAATTGCAATGTCACACAATATTGCAATGATTTTTAATAGCCCTTCACTCATACTATGTGAAGAGGAAGCAGCAATGGCATTAACAAATGTAGAAAATGAAACTGTCTTTGATAGAGGAGTAAGATACATATACAATACAACAACATTTCAACTTGTAAATGAATTCTTTGCAAATTTATTAAATGTACATAATTTATTAACATATCTAAAATTAATTATATTTTTACAATAATTATATACATATATCATTTTATCTATACAAACTAATTTACATTATGAATTATTTAATTGCCCTACCCACTTCCCTAGATTATGACAAATATTAACATTTTTGGGTGATTTTGATACCATAGCTATAAACAGTTATCTATGAGAAGAGCATGTGAAGAACTGGATTAGTATTTTTTGGTTGGTGGTAGTGATTTACGGAGTCTGATAACACCCTTAGGCAATCCTCAATCACCAGCTGCAAATTTATTTGAGGCAAACATTAGAATTAGGAATCAATATTATTTTAAAGTTGTCTACTTTAAAATTTATAATATATGTCTGAA